GTGAAAGCCAGGAAGAACCTTCATAGTATAGGAATTTATGTCTTGTTACTGCTGTGCCAATAACTTTGATGTTTCTTTTTTTAAATTTTTTATTTAACTTTTATTAATTACACTTTATTCATTTTGTATCCCCCCCATAAGCCCCTCCCTCCTCCCCTTCCGGCCCCCCCTCCCCCCCTTTCTGCATGCATGCCCCTCCCCAAGTCCACTGATAGGGGAGGTGATGTTTCTTTTTTGCTAGCCATCTTCTGTTACAAACTCTTCTTTGAAAGGAATTGCTAACCCAGGCCTGGTAGCATACTCCTGTGATCTCAGCACTCTGGGAGGCAGAGGCAGGCTGATCTCTGTGAGTTGGAGGATAGCCTAGTCTACAAAGTGAGTCCAGGACAACCAAGGCTACACAGAGAAACCCTGTCTCAAAAAACTAAAAAAAAAGGGGTGGGAGAGTGCTAAAGCCACCCAGAATGCAATAGGCGATACAAGTCAGTCTGTGGCATTATAAGTCTTTCACTCTCAGAAAAGGAAGCCAGGTGAGAACAATCAGGGCTAAGAGAGCCACAAGAGATAGTTCATAATGTCCCTAGACATTTTCTGAAGAAGTGGTAGAAAGAGTGTGATGGCACTCACAGAGTCAGCAAGATAGCATGAGTGTTAGAAACAAGTGAGAGTATTGCTAACAAAGCAAAGCTGTCGCAATAGAGAGCAGGCCTGGGCATGGTAAGGTCTCGCCGTATCTTTTCTTCTGGCCCACACACGGTGGTGTACAAGTCTTTTCACTTCGTCTGTTCTTAGTTTATTTTTGTTCTGAGAAAAGGGAGTTGCTCTGCATGAACAGTCATGTTCTTCCTAAAGCAGGGACACTTCCGATCCTTCAGCTCTGCGAGCATGTATGCTGGAAATGAACACACTGTCTTGGCAGCCAAAGGTGGTGTGGTGATTCTTCAGAGCTGCCATTCACCAGGCTGAGACCTTTGCTAGTCGGAATCAGAGCATTCTGTGTCTCCTGTGACCCCTTAGGGAGTAATAGGTAACTGGAGGGGCCATGCTTCCTCCATCCACACTGAGATGTCATCTGTATCAACCGCAGCAATAAGATCAAGGCTTTAAAAGCATTAAGCTACTTTTTAGCAAAAAATTATGATTAAATCAAACCTGTGAGGTCGCCTCAACTCAGGCCATTGACATTCTTTCTTTCTGCACTGGTACGCTCCCTATAAAACTGGTAATGGAAGCTGAGTTTAAAGTAACTATAAAGAATGTGAAGGTATTTCCCAGCAAGAGCATGGACAGGTTTATGAGGCAATTTGATTTTATTGAGACTCCCAGGAATACATATTATCTGAAAAAAAAAATGCCCACTCTTCAGAACACATTGCTCTTGAAAACAAAAAAGGAGTAAAATAAGACAACAACAACAAAAGCAAAACAACAATAAAAAGACTCAAATGGCCTCTAAAATTTGGCTCACAAATTACACACATAAGTACAAGGCACTTTGATCAGGGCAGGAGTGGGAAAAAAATCTGTTACAAATTTGGCAGAAAGAAACCTTACGAATAAATTCAGGCTTTCATTTAAAGGGGCCTGAACAACCACTGTGGAGTGGCATGTCTGCGGTCAGCCCATTTTCACTAAAGGGGTGACATAGTTAAAACAGGGTGGGGTGACGGTGTCAGTGTGAACCCGAATGTGTGTGTGATTTATTCTCCAATGCGTGCTCTGTCCTAGGGAAGTGATGGGACCCACTTTGATGAATCCCAGGATTAAAGCTCATGCATGTAAAATACTTAACACATACCAGGAAGACACATTTTGAAAGCTGCCCAGGATCTCTTTGAGCTGCTCACTCATAGGCACAGTGAGCGTCTGTCAAACTGGGAAGATGGTAGAGCCACATGCACCACCCCCTTCAGTGTAGGGTCTATCTCTCAGTGCTTAACTCTGTGTTACAAGTTACACATATCAGAACTTTAGAAAATACACAAGGTCTTTCGTATATAGGAGGGCTACTGATTTTTTTTTGAGTTAATTTTGTACCCAGCCACTTTGCTGAAGGTGTTTATCAGGTGAAGGAGTTCTCTGGTTGAATTTTTGGGGTCATTCATGTATACTATCATATCATCTGTGAATATCGATACTTTCACTTCCTCCTTTCCGATTTTTATCCCCTTGATCTCCTTTATTTGTCTTATTGCTCTAGCAAGAACTTCAAGTGCTATGTTGAGATATGGAGAGAGTGGGCAGCCTTGTCCCTGATTTCATTGGGATTGATTTAAGTTTCTCTCCATTTAGTTTAATGTTGGCTTTGGCTTGCTGTATATTGTCTATACTATGTTTAGGTATGCTCCTGGTGTCCCTGATCTCTCCAAGAATTTAAACATGAACTGGTGTTGGATTTTGTCAAATGATTTTTCAGCATCTAAGGAGATGATCATGTGGTTTTTGTTTATATGGTGGATTACATTGATGGATTTCTGCATATTGAACCACCCCTGCATACCTGGGCTGAAGCCTAGTTGGTCGTGGTGGATGATATCTTTGATGTGTTCTTGGATTTGGTTTGCAAGTATTTTGTTGAGTATTTTTACATCAATGTTCTTAAGAGAGAGATAGGTCTGAAGTTCTCTTTTTTTGTTGGGTCCTTGTGTGGTTTAGATATCAAGGTGACTGTGGCATCATAGAATGAGTTTGGTAATGTTCCTTCTGTTTCTAATTCGTGGAATAGTTTGAAGAAAATGGGAGTTAGCTCTTCTTTGAAGATCTGGTAGAATTCTGCATTGAAGCCATCTGGGCCTGGGCTTTTTTTGGAAGGAAGACTTTTGATGACTGCTTCTATTTCCTTGGGGGATATAGGACTATTCAATCTATTTACCTGATCTTTATTTAATTTTGGTAAATGGAATCTATCAAGAAAATCATCCATTTAATTTAGGTTTTCAAATTTTATGGCATATAGGCTTTTTTAGTAACACCTAATGATTGTTTGGATTTCCTCAGTGTCTGTTGTTATGTCACCTCTCCTGAGGGGGGAAGCAGCCTTACCAGGCCACAGAGGAAGACAATACAGACAGTCCTGATGAGAACTGATAGGCTAGGGTCAGAGGGAAGGAGACGAGGACCTGCCCTATCAGTGGACTTGGGGAGGAGAAGAGGGAGGAGTGTGGGATTGGGAGGGAAAGAGGAAGGGCTACAGCTGGGATACAAAGTGAATAAACTGTAATTAACATAAAAATTAAAATTAAAAAAGGAAATACACAAGGTACATAAGCAAAGAGAAGAAGAAAAAAACATGGAGGATGAGACTTAAATACTGTTCTGTTGGTATTACTAGGTGGAGGATGAGGCAAGGAATTGTTATTAGGGAGCAATCCGCCTAGTTTTGTTTGCCTCAGTTCTATTTCACCTGTGGTGTTAGGCTGGCAGAAAGAATTAAAGTCAATAACCTCTACACCCTTGGTGGCCTTCAATCTCTGTTTCTTTTTGGCCAATATTGCTGAGTGGCTAAATTATGTGGAATTAGATTGTATATAGTGTGAATCAAAACGTAAAGAAGTCATTAACAGAGGACCTGCCACATAACAGTCTGCTGGACATGTGCTCAGTCTCAGGCAGCTGAGGAACATGAGCATAACTGGGCACAAATCGAAGGGGAAGGAGAGGTATAGCGGTGCTGTCTTGGCTGCTGACCTGATATTAGCCTTTGCTTTATTTTCCCTGAATGAAGTTCTGACATGACTGAGTAGGCTTGTTCTAACCTCTGCTCTTGTGAATGGGACATTATTTGAAAACATAATTATTTACAGCTGTAATCAAGATAAGATGAGGTCATGCTGGCTCAGGGTTCTGTTTCAGTGGAAGAAGAAATGAGGACACATGTATGTGCACATACATGTATAAGACATGCATGTTGGTGAACTGATTGGCCTGCTCTTTAATCACCTCCCCCTGAGAGGGGAGCAGCCTTACCAGGCCACAGAAGAAGACGATGCAGCCACTCCTGATGAGATCTGATAGACTAGAATCAGAAGGAAGGAAAAGAAGACCTCCTCTACCAGTGGACTCGGAGAGGGGCATGCATGCAGAAGGAAGAGGACAGGAAGAGTTGGGAGAGGAGGAGGGAGGGAACCACAGGGGGGATACAAAGTGAATAAAGTGTAATTAATAAAGAATTAAAAAAAGATATGCATGTTGGGCTGGGAGTTATGGTTCATGCTTTAATTCTAGCACTCAGGAGAAAGGGGCAGGTGGATCTTGTGAATTCAAGGCCAGCATGGCCTACATATTGAGTTTCAGGACTGTCAAGGCTCTTTCTTACACAAAGAAGCCAACCCCATCTCAAATTGCTCCACCCCACCCCCAAAAGATATACATATCATGTTAAAACAGAAATAAGAGAGATCACTGACAGGAGCAGAAGTGGGAGAGGTGTGGGGCAGCCTTTTGCTGAGAGTATCAGGAGGAACCATCTCTGGAGATACCTTGATTCTGAATTTCTGGCTTCCAGGGCTGTGGGATGACAAATTCCTGTTTCTTAAGCCAACTGATTGGTGGTGTTGTTTTCTATAGTGACTGTAAATAAAAAGATTTTCATATGTATTAATACAGATACTAATTATGTTATTTATATCGAAAGTTGATGAATTTAGTTTTCCATTTCTTCCTCTCCCTCCTCACTCTTCTTTTCTCACCATCCCTCTCTTTCTCACATTGTCCTTTCTCCTCTCTCTTTCCTCTTTTTCTTCTTCTTCTTCTGGATCCTATCTTTGTCTTTCCTTCTGTCTCCTCTTTTTTACCCTTCCTCCCATCCCCCCTTTTTAAATCTTGCATATGCTAGGAAAGCTACACTCCAAGTCAATTTTATAATTTTACACTTGTTAAGGAACATATTGAATAATTGTGTATTGTTATATCTTGGGCATTAAAAATAAGAACTGGTTGCTTATCCATTTTTTCCATTCACTTTTTTTTTCTTTTTCTTTTAGATTGTAACCAGTTTTACAATGGACTCCCTTATTGCAGCAAATAGCAAATTTTGCTTCGATTTTTTTCAAGAGATTAGCAAAAGGGACATTCATAAAAATGTCTTTGTCTGCCCCCTGAGTCTCTCAGCTGCCTGTGCTATGATTCGCCTAGGAGCTAGAGGTAACAGTGCACAACAGATCGATGAGGTATGTATCCAAAGGGTGCTGCACAGGCTGCTTTTCTCTGTCTGGCTCTGCATAGGAAGCTCATCTGACAATCGGGTGAGCTGCAGTTGCTCACTGATCTCACCATTTGGGCTTCATTGTAGCTTGGAAGCCTCAAAGGTCCAATTACACTTTCATTCATCTTTCATATGGTACCTCCCTAGCATCCCTGCCTGATGGCTTTTTCCATTCACCTTTGCTTCATCCCCTCCTCATGACAGTCTCCATGCCTGTCCCTCTTTCTCTCTACAATTAGTGATGCCAATACTGTTAGTAACCTTTAATATAAGTGTGTTTCCTCTCTTCTTCTTCTCATTAACTAGATGTGTATTAGGACCTAGATATTTACGCAGTAGCTTAAGGTCCTCCAGGTCTTTCTAATTTCATTTGCCAGAAAATCTCATTGGCTTTCCCTTTGATAAACCTCCTGAGTCTGGATATTTTGCTCTCCCTGAGTTCTGAGCTCCACTCATCTGGCTTGGGTCTGTTGCTCCCATCATCAGTATGTTCTTAACAGAGAAACCCGAGCTTCTGTAAGGCAGACATCTACTTTCAAGATTTTGTAAAAGCAAGACTTCTCATTAGGCTCAAAATAGGAACCCAGTCCTTATAGTGGCCCCTGAAGGTATGGGCACATGAATTCCCATGCTCTGTCACCATGCTTCACCTCTTTCCAGCCCATCACAGTGGTCACTTGGGTTCCTTGTAAAAGGAAAATGAGTCTTTTCTTGGGGCCTGAGATTGCGTTCCTCTGTCCTGTTTTTCTTCCTGTACTGTATTAGTTACTTTTCTGTTCTGTGACAGAACATGGAGATCACAGCAATGTATAAAAGAAACTATTTGGTTGGGCTTATGGTTTCAGAGGGTTAGATGTCCATGATGGCAGAACAAAGGCATGGCAGCAGGAATGGCTGAGAGCATACATCACGGTCAGCAAACAGGGGACAGAGAGAACACACTGGGAATGGTGCAAGCCTCAGGACCTCAAAGTCCACAGCCAGGGACACACCTCCTCCGGAAGGCCACATATCCTCACCCTTTCGAAACAGTTCCACTAATGAGGGACCAGTGGCCATTTTTGTTCAAGCTACCACACTCAGATACCTAATCCTTTGGTTTACTTTCTCCTTCATCAATGCTTGCCACCTTTAAAAGGCTCACTCTAATCTTCTGATCTAATCTTCCATCCAAGCTCCCAATCCCATACACGAACCTAGTCACACTTACCCACACAGCATACCGAAACCAATTACTATGCATATTATTTTTATACCCTCTGCATTATTGCATGATCTTTGAGAGGGTTTGTCCTACAACAGCACCGGGTCTAGAGTAGGCGCCCAGTAGATAACTGTAGAATTTGTGTAAGTGACGAAAGGCTTCTGAGGCGGCGGCCTTGCCCTTCCTGGGCTCTAACACACGACAAAGAGGCAAGTATCAACAAGGCCACTGTTCTTGAACACGGAGGAGTTGGGTTCACAGAATAAGGCAGAAGTACTCGGAGTCATTATGCACTTGCATCTTCTCACGCTCGCTTTGCTGTTATTTCCTGTTCCATAGGCAACAGCTAACTGTAGAATGGGGTGTGCGTCCTCCAGGACCAGCTGATGTTCTTTTCCCATGCAGTTGGTGGTCACTTGCCAATAACCTGAATCTGAACAGTGTGGAGTGTGCCTCTCCTGCTTCACTTTAAATGCGATGCTGGGCACCTTGTCTCGTGTCACACTCACTCTCTTGACTGATGTGAAACTCCAGACCAGTGCTGTTCAACACAACTTAAGCCATGCATAACCTTGAAACACTTTAGTAGTCACATAAAGCTTTTCAAAAGATAAGGCTAAGCCTAATAAGAAATTTAAGACAATTCAACATTTTCACAATGCGTTATCAGTAAATAATCAATATACATTTTAATGAGATATTTTATGTTATTTTTCATTCTGTCTTCAAGACCTCATGTCTATTTTATATTTACATCCAATTAAGACTGGGCATGGATAAGTGTAGGTTAGTTATTGTACACAGATCATGAATTCCTTCTGTTCCTTTGTTTGGTAATATTCATTCTAGCTTCTTTTTCTGTTCTTTCCTTTCTTGTGTTTTGGAAAGGGTGTCATGGAGCTTGGGCTGACCACACACTTCCTATAAAGCAGAAGATAATGGGGAGCTTCTGATCCACTGGGGTTAAAGGAGCGTGCTGCCATCACCATCCTAACTTCACGTGGTGCTGGGGCTAGAACTCAGGGCTCTGTGCACTCCAGGCAAGCGCCCTCTCCACTGAGCTCATCTCCATCCTTAAATGTAGCTAGAGGAGGAGGGCAGTATACAGTGACACCGTCTTCTGGGAACTATTGTTCATTATTGTCAACTTCCCACCCTTCACACTGTCTGAGAGGCCCTCCATCATTATCACGCAGGCATTACATTTCAATGAAGTTTCCAAGGACAAAAGCGAAGAACCCAATGACCCCCAGTCAAAAAGTGAGAAAGAAGGGTCTGGTGGCTCTCTGGAAGGGCAGAAGGAGACGCCAGGGTCTCAGGATCAGCAGGTGAGTGCCTGGGAATGCTCCTCTTCACTGCATGCCCATTCTGTCTGTGCTGTGCTTGATGTCACAGACAGTAGCAACCACGCAGGATCTGTAATTCCTTTCTGATTCCACCTTTTCTTTTTTTTATTATTTTTATTAATTACAGTTTATTCACTTTGTATCCCCCTGTACCTCCTTCCCTCCTCCCCTTCCAATCCCACCCTCCTTCTTCCCCACCCGTGTCCCTCTCCCAGTCCACTGAAAAGGGAGGTCCTCCTCCCCTTCCCTCTGACCCTAGTCTATCAGGTCTCATCAGGACTGGCTGCATTATCTTCTTTTGTGGCCTGGTAAGGCTGCTCCCCCCTCAGGGGGAGGTGATCAAAGAGCAAGCCACTGAGTTCATGTCAGAGACAGCCCCTGTCCCTATCACTATGGAGGCCACTTGGATACTGAACTGCCATAGGCTACCTCTGTGAAGGGGTTCCAGGCCATGTCCATGAGTGGTCTTTGGCTGGACTGATTACACCTTTTCTATGTCCCTGGGTTGTCTCCCATTTTCCTCTCTGCCTCTCCAAACCTTGTAACACAGGACAAAGACATCTCCCTGCCCAGCTCTGCTTTGTTCCTGTAAAATTCCTTTTCTGAAGTGGAGCTTAACTAGCTGATTATTATGAAACCCTTTGTTTCTTCTTTTGTTAGGAGGAAGCTACAAATGAGAATGAAGTGCTCAGCTACCACTTTGGGAATCTTCTGTCTAAATTAGATAGAGATAAATCTTATTACACTCTAACTATGGCCAACAGACTCTATGGAGAGCAGGAATTCCCAATCTGCCCGGTGAGTAACAGGGATTAAGGTGTTCACCGAGGATTCTCCGTAGATAGATAAGTGAGTAGGTAGATGGCCAACCTTCCACATAGTCCATGAGACTATGGGCTGGTGCCCGTCTATGACCTATTTTCTGAGGTCTCAGGTTTCTATCGCCTTCTACCCAGTTTTCAGCTTGGGTTTAGGAGTCCACTTGAAAGGGTGAGATGATTCACAGCCCATCGGCACATGAGCGATCTTTGTAAGGTACCCAGGTGGCTGTCTTTTCCAATCAAGGAGCACAATAGTCAAATTTTGTGACCTTCCTGACTGTTGGCTGCTATTAAGGCACTGCTCTAAGATCCCTTATTGTGCATTTTCAGGTAGTTCCCATGGGATCTGTGCTTTGCAGAAGGTGTGTGGTGCCACAAACAGACACCCTGTTGGGAGCCCAAAGCCACAGGCCTTGTTTCTGTGGATAAGCAGCTTTTACCTGTTGCAGCGTAGGTTCCCGTTAGACCTCCAGTCCCAAGAAAGTGAGCCCCGCCGTCATTAAGAGTAATGGACGTGAGTTGAAGCTGATGTGACATGGCTGGCGTGAGCGAGGCTAGTCAGGGGAACCAAGATCCTGCTTTACATCCCAGTAGATTATCTTACCAGGTTGGCATCTTCTATATCAAATCATACAACCCTAGAATTTTGAGAGCTAAATCTACAGCTCCAACTCGTTTGTTAAAAAGCGTACACATTAATGTTTTTGGTACTGTGTTACCTAACTAAATTTATACTAAAATACAAATTAAAAAAAAAAAAGATGTATCTAAACAGTTTTAAAGTTTGTAAGTGGAATTAATTATATTCCCAATGTAACTAATATGCTAATCACGACACTTTGCTATCACACAAACAGAATGTCTGTGAATGGCAAAGCGGCCACTCCCCTGATGTCGGGTGGCCCCGAGCTTCTTTTTCAGGGTCTTCTGATCACCATCTCATCTTAACAACCAGCACCTCTGTCTGATTTTGTTGCTCTCTTTCCTGTGCATCTGAATTGAACAGGAATACTCAGATGACGTAATTCAATTTTACCACACGACGGTTGAAAGTGTAGATTTTCGGAAGGATTCTGAGAAGTCGAGACAAGAGATTAACTTCTGGGTTGAAAGTCAGTGCCAAGGTAAGGAAGGCCTAGCAGAAAGGCCGGCATTATTTCCACCTCAAAGAAAAGCTGTGGGCCCACTCTGCAGGTTGCTCATCTTCTGGGGCCAGGTGTTGGCGTTTGTGATGTGTGTTCAAAGCTTATTTCGAACAGCAGCAGACAAGGTCTGGTGCATCCGGGGTGGTAGCTACTTAGCTAGGTCTATCATTAGTATCTGATTTTTTTTTCTCCTAGGATTTTTGATTTTTAGAGACTTTTGAAACTACATCTATTTATTCGTTGTGTGTCTATGTGTATTTATGTGGGCATGTGCTTGACATGTGAATGTCAGAGGGCAACTTGCTGCTTTTATATCCTTTCATCTACATGACTTTAGATTTCCTATATGAAAGAAAAATGCAATATTTATATTTCTCTTCTCCATTACCCACTCTTGTTTCCCCAAGCATTCTCCCTTTAGAGCACTCTACCTTCTCATGGCCAGCCTTCTATTTTTCATGTTATATTTACTCAAATCTAGGCTCCTAATATGAGAGGAGACCTGGGATGTTTGCCTTTCTGAGTACGGCTTATTTTGCCTACCTTGATGATGCCCATTTCCATCCACTTTGCTGCAAATAACATACGTTTAGTCTTATTCATGACTGTCAATATGCAGTTTTTAGACTTTAATTCTAATTAAATGAGAGTTTGGCTCCTTCATTTTGAAGCTGATTCTGAACTTAGCTGTTAAGGGGGAGACCTAAACTCTGTTCTCAGTCATTTTTCCTTTTTTTATTTTTTATTTTCACTTGCAGTCCACTCGCCCCTTGTCCTATCTCCCTCTAGACTTTCTCCACAATCACCCATGGTGGAGACGCCAATCAACTCAAGCCTCTCTTTTGTGGAGGAAGTGACATGTGGTTTTGTCAGTCATTAAGAATGAAGGCAGGGTTTGGCCTGGATATCTAGAAGGTGGAGACTCTTCTCCTTCTACCTGTGCGTGCACAGTTTACAAAGATGAGCTTCTCATCTCAGGCCCGAGTGCACCAAGAGGGCACCTAATGTTTATCAGTGTAGGGTTGGGGACAGTCTTGTTCGATGAACTTGAGACGCAGGGGGAAAGGTGATACATTGCATCTCCCGCCTCTAATGTGAGGCTTCAACTAAGGGCACTTGTACACTTGAGTGATTGGCAGCCAGGGAACCACAATGCATGGTTTATTTCCAGTTGCTTTTGGTGCTTGGTGCAATGTTTTCTGTTTCTTTCTTCAGTTTGGAGGCTTATGTTCTTATTTCCCAAGTTCTTGATGTGGAGTTAAGGTCAGCTTCCTAATGGTGTTTTTTAAAGAGAAATCTTTAAATCCTCTACTTATTTACTCTTCCTTTACTATGTCTCATGGAATCCCTGTGCTTTCAAGGTTCCATTCAGCTATCAAGAGGGCAGTAGTTTGGTGAAGTAGTCCTGTCTGAACTCTAATATTTTTTTCCCTTGAATGAGTTAGCTTTCCTAGAGTATTTAAAGCGTAGTGGATGCCGACATAGTGCATTATAGAATCTATATGTAGCCTTTCTCAATGTAAAGGAATCCTTTCTCATTAAGGCATCAGCATGTATTCAAGTGGCAGGAGATGATGTGTCTTAAGATTGACTAGTACTTGGTGGCATCAGGGACCACCTCCTGTCTCTAGGTGCGCTTCCTGTTGTCCTCAGTGCTCTTTTGTAACAAAGGGTGCCTGGTCCAGGATCAACGCCATCTCACCTTGTTTCTTTTTGACTATTTGGCATCTCCTTTTACCGCTTAAAGCAAGTTACTCCATGAAGTAGGGACAACTATGGGTACTTCTCAAGGCTTACTATCTAGGTGGGGATTAGAAAGTATTTCCTTCTACAAATGAATGTGTGTTTTTATAAAACTGAACAAATTCTTGTGAGGTAAAATGAAAGAGGGTGTACAAACCTCTGAAAATCAGGTTTTATACTATAGCATAGCAGTGTGTGTGTGTGTGTGTGTGTGTGTGTGTGTCTGTGTCTGTCTGTCTGTCATCTACCTCTCTGTTTATATGTTAGAGAATATACTGAACTTCAATCACCCCCATAGAGAGAGCAAGTTCATACTGTGTTACTCTATCCAGGAAATTACAAAATTCAAGTATTAGGCCTATAATATGAAACATATTCTATAAATGTTTGTGACAATTTGTGACCAAAAGTGGCCAAGAGACTCAGAAGATGCTCATGTTCACAGTGCTCTAAACCGGATCAGGGCAGTAAGAATTGCCCCATAACTCCTACCCCCTTTAAGCCTCCCGTAACCCTCTGTGTTTCTAGGATACACTCTTGAGTGAGACACTCTCCACTGTCTCTATGAATGCTTTTCATGGAACACATGCTCAGGTTATCCTATTGCACCTTTTTTTCTAGGTAAAATCAAGGAACTCTTCGCCAAGGAGGCTATTGATAATTCGACTGTGCTAGTGCTCGTGAATGCTGTTTACTTCAAAGCCAAGTGGGAGAAATATTTTGACTGTGAAAACACGGTTGATGAACCTTTCTTTCTAAGTGAGGTACTTAGCTGCTGTGTTCTACATAGCCCACTTCTAATTTCCACTAATGGTGATTAGTAGCATCTAGACTCAAGCCTAATGCTTAGATCTGTGACTTATGGCTTACAATTATGAAAAACCATTGTGTTTTATGAATCCAGTACCCAAAGTTCACTGAATATTTTAAATATAGCTATTGTAAGACACACATATTTTAGAACATTACATACATACTAAATCCATACAATCTGCTAATCAATTAATGTGTGTATGTATATAGGCCCAGAACTTATGAGACAGAGGCAGAAGGATCACCACAAGTTCAATGCTAACCTGTTCTACATAAAGAATATGAGAAATCTAGAGTTACATATTGAGACTTTTTCATAAAACAAATGTATACACTAAAGAAAAGAGATGGGCCTCTTTGTTTTGAGTTTGCTTCTGCTTTAAGTTAACACATGAGACAACTCAACTTTCTTCTAAAACCCCTTCTGCCATCTCTTCCAAGACTTACACATCTTCTATCCCCTTGCCAGAAACTGTAAATAGTTTAAGTATGTTTCCTGAAAAATGTTCTGTTGTGTTGTTGGCAGTCCAGAAAAGAGAGGACCAGGTAGTTACGGAATGTTATGATTTCATTATTTGATTTTTATTCAAAATAGCATTATGTGAAGAGTAGTATTATCTCCAGTTGAGGTTTGAGGGAAAAGATGCAAACTAAGTTAATTTGCCATAGGTTAAGAGCATATCTGTATTAGTTCACAGGTCTTATGTTCCAAGCCAGACAGTTTAAGAATAGAGGAAAGGCCAGAGATCAGGTCCAGCCAATCATTTGTTAACCAGTTGTCCGTGCTACTGGACACGTTTTTCCTTCCAGCACAGGATATCCTCATTTGTAAGTTGATGGCCTTTCCTATCAAGGTAGTATCTTTGTTTCTGAAGTAAGCTTGTGATGCAGGTGTCATTTTAAACATATAGATGATCACTGTTTAACCGAGGCTTCCATTGGTGCCACATAGAGTCATTCAGATGGGACACAGGTGAATGAAGACAAGAGGTTGGGATGTGCTGGGCATTGAAGACTATGTTTTGGCTGGCCTTGCTTTGGCTGATTAAGGTGTGGGAGATAATTGGATTAAAAATCTAGCAGGAAATGGTCTTGAGAACTAAGAACATGTGAGGATAAAATGTTGCCAAAGCAGGCAGAACCTTATTGACTGTTAGGCAGAGGGCTATCTTAAGTTGGGTGACTGGCTTGATTCTGGACTTCTGGTGTATTTCTATCTCTTCTTAAAGCATCTTACTTCTCAGGGATGTTGTAGGGAGGACATGAGTGTTTATGTTTTCTATGGCCTTCTGTGATTGCCTTTATGTACACTGCAGGATGAGAAGAAGACTGTAAAGATGATGAATCAGAAGGGTCAGTTTCGAATTGGCTTTATAGAGGAGCTACAAGCTCAGATTCTGGAAATGAAGTACACCGTGGAGAAACTCAGCATGCTGGTCCTGCTTCCATCTAGCTCAGAAGACAATGTGAAGAGCCTGCAAGAGGTAGAGCTTTAGTATAACATCTGTACAGATTCTGGATCACTGAGGAATAGCACTGGCCTCCATCATCCATCACCTAAGATGGGTGCTATCTTAGCTAGTGGAGACACTGGAGATCACCTGGACTATGGATGAGATTAGATATTTATTTCTAAATTGTTTTAGCCCAACGAGCAAATGCCAGAAATGCCAGAAAAAAAGAGTCTTTCCCCCTCAAATTCACATATTCCTGCAATCATGGTCCAGACCAAAGAATCTGGATGGCAAGGAGTGTGAAAATTTCCACAAATGAAACAGCTCTTCCTTCTAAAATATCTTGACTTTTGGGCTCTGGCTTAGACTACTTGCCTGTTTAGCTGCATCTTTTTTGAGAGCATTCTCTTTAGTAGGAGTAGACACATCGATACAATAAGAATGAAATTAATGAAGGCTAGGGAGGCCCTGATATCCATTGTTCTGAGGAGGCGTCGGGGTAAAGAGAAGATAGGTAGATAGATAAACAGATAGATAATCGATGGCTAAAGATATCAACATGGTAATTATAGTAACTGCCATTGTTCAAAATATATGACACACCAGCATTTTTTTAATGTATACTCAGTATATTATGTACAGTACTGTGGTCAGTACTTGGAAGAGCCTTATTATGTTATATCTGCTTTATAGAAAAGGAATTTGTACTTCACAGTGGCAGGGCTGGCCTGAGCTTATCCAGTTGACTTTTTCTGGTCTTTGAGCATAAGCCTGTCAAATGCCAAAACTCAGTGGGATGTTGATTGTCTTGTAATTTCTAAGAAGGAAAGATTTAAATGAAGTCTAGATAGGGAAGATTAAAATGAACCTATTTTGAGGTTTAGAGAAAGTCCTTGGAGCATTTATGTAACTGAATATTAAAACAGATTAGCTCCGGAACTTTGAAATATCTGAGACACTTGCAGGCTTGTAATCTGATCTTAAACATTATTTTTTCCTCTTCTTATAGCTTGAAAAGAAAATAAGCCATGAAAAACTAATGGCCTGGAGTAGCTCGGAAAATATGGCAGAAGAACCTGTAGCCATTTCCTTCCCCCAGTTCATTATGGAAGACAACTATGATCTCAAATCGGTTCTACAAGACATGGGCATTAAGGATGTCTTTGATGAGACAAAGGCTGACCTTACTGGAATCTCTAAGAGCCCCAATCTGCATTTGTCCAAAATTGTCCACAGGAGCTTCGTGGAGGTGGATGAGATGGGCACGCAGGCAGTGGCAGCCAGCGGCGCTGTCGGTGCCGAGAAGGCCCTTCCATCTTGGGTGGAGTTTAAGGCCAACCGCCCTTTTCTCTTTTTCATCCGACACAACCCAACCCAAGTCATTCTTTTCTGTGGTAGAGTCTACTCTCCTTGAACGTCCTCTGGCTTTTGGGTGCTTGAGGTGAATGGCATCATGGTTGCCCCCCGTGTAACCACAGGCACTTGTGTGTTTGCTGACTGCCTGAAGCTGACCATCTGCGGACTGTTGCACACACAATCCCTCAAGCCTCTCTTGAGATTTGTTCTGATACTCTCTGTCGCCATCTGTTAATGACGTAGCCTTGCTGTCTCCTTAATCTTTATCTCCCTAACCTTTTAAGCATATAAATTCACCTTCTATGATTTGGAGGTCAACACCATGAGGACTTGTATTGATTTTCTCTAAGTTGCCTCCCTCCCTCCTTATAAAGGAAAAAAAGTGTAAGTTAGTCATCGGACCATTCTGAGAGATTGAAAACTCAGAATGTGATTAAATGTGTTTGGGAAACTTGATTCTATTTCTAGGACACTTATAATCAGGGGTACCCCCTAGGCAAGACTCTTAGTCCCCTTTTCATATGTGCTGTAATGCATGGAGGTGTCCTGTGATGACTTTTTACTCCAGAGAAGATATGATCTGGAGGCCTAATTAATTGATGGATCAAGGATGTGTGCATCTCCTAGCCAAGACCCATTTTGCACAGGAGAATGACATTTCTATGATGTGTTTGACCCTGACAAAGAAGGTGGCAAGTCTGTTCTAATGGTTTGGTCTCTCTCAGTTTTCCATATTGAATTCTTCTGTAATTGTACCTTTTAGGTATCATTATTATGAACTCCCTTCTGTCTCTTTGCTCTCTCTCAGAGAATACATAACTATACCTAAAACTAGGGTGCTGAGGCTGGACAAGAAACTGGACATTATTGTGGCTGGGTGGGAGACCCTTTTCTCTGTTTATTCTTTTAGATAACATGAACTTATTTAACTTTCCAGAGGCCTAAAGCTGGTCATACAATAAGAACAGTTCTTGGCTGGACAGTGTATATGAAAATCCTTTTCAGGATAGCTATTGTTTTCCTGTCAAGCTCCAGGCTACTAAAAGATGGATGAATGCATGTTCTCATGCCCCCAGCTTTGCATTTGAAACAACAATCATAATTCATGGCCTCTGCTTTACCAGGATGCTCTGGATTGGTCACTGGCACTTCCAACATGGGGAGTCAGTCAGGCTCTTTCCTAACCAGTATACTTCTTGTATGTGTCTCGGTCTTGGTCCAGCTTTCCTGCCCTGCATAGTGTTGTTCCTCCTTCCAGCTGCCACTGCACAGAGGACTGGTGGCTGCAGCAGGTTCGCAGGAAGCTCATCCACTCGGACCTCCCTTCCTAGCGACTTCTTTCTGTTGTGAGAGACAATCCCTGCATTGTTCATGCAGCCTCTTCATCTTTGAAGCTTTTTTTTATGGAGAAAAACAATTGGGAATGCTAGGCACTTTGAGGAAGGAGAAAGTTCACTCCTTTAAAGGATTTTTAATTTTATTTTATGTGTATGGGTATTTTGTTAAGAGGCAGAAAGAACCCTCAGATAAGCTGGCTGTGTAACTGCTAGGAAACCAAGCAGATTATGACAGTTATGAACAATACTCTTTTCTGCTTTTGAGTACATAGCTCCCTCCATCCAGCAATGGAGGAACAGGTACAGTCAGTAATGCACTCTTTTTTTCTGATAATACAGTGTTGGGTAAGAGAACTCTGGATACAGGGGCTCCAAAAGGCTCTCTAGTGCTTCTTCAGACTCCGTGATAATATTACTTATTATTCTGGCCTCTCTCCTCTTTGTGTCTACTGTTTTGTCTAACACACCCTTTCCTCATCAAACACCTATCCAAGGTTTCCTCTCGAGCTGGGGCAAACTGGAACTTGTTGCTTGACATAATTGCTGTTTACTTCTTTTGCGTGTGTGGTGCCTTAGAAACCACTCTATCATTAGCTCAAGGCTGTTTCATCCTGGCCAGCAGAGTGGGACGCTCTGGAGTAGTTTCAGAGGATTTCTTAGATCTGCATTTGAGTGGCAGTCCCAAATATAACAGAGCTCATAAAGATAAGCCATGCCAAGATATTAAACTTCTGGAGAAATAAAAATGAAATATAAGACTTAAGTATGTCAAGAAGCAAAAATAACACACTGGAAAATATACTCAGTGAAATATGACAAATAAAAGTTTTTCTCTTAGAACTTACAGGAGATAGTGGAAGTTATAGATATAAAAAGATAAGGGTTGGGGAGACAGCACCATGAAGGAAGCACTTGTCATGCAAGTGTGAAGATCCCCCAAAATAGATAGAGCTGGACATACAGCAGGAACATCTAGAGCTCTGTGCTTCTACTGTGAAATGGGAAATTGAGGGGAAACAACAAAAGACCCAGTCTGAAAACAAGGAGGAAGGAGAGGACACACACACACACACACACACACACACACACACACACACACAGACAGAGAGAGAGAGAGAGAGAGAGAGAGAGAAACAGAGAGACAGAGAGACACACACAAAGAGAGACAGAGACAGAGAGATAGCCGGAGACAGTGAGACAGAGAGGGACAAAGACAGATAGAGACACAGAGAAACACAGAGACAGACATCCAGAAAGACAAAGACAGACAAAAAGATGGAGAAATATACAGAGAAACAGATAGACAGAAACCAGGAAGTAAACCCAAATATTATGATGTTCCTGAAAAAGAGACATGCCAATAAACTTTACAAACAAAAGTTTCAGAAAGATATCAGGATGACCAAATATTTTATATATAAAGGTTAAAAATCATGTGGGCCTAAACATATTTTTACATATTCTTTGAGAATTCAGTACATCTATAAAATAAATTTTAATCATACCCATCCCATTTTCCCCCTCCAATTTATTTTTGACTTCATCTACATTATAAAGCATTTAATTTTTTGTTGGATTTTTGGAGAACAATAAAACCTAGTCTATAGTTTTGAAGGGGAAATACATGCTCAACACTTTTCAGAGCCAAAGTCACAGTTGACCTTTGTGTACAAGCTAGTATAAGATAATTCTATATATTTCTCTGTGTGTAAGTGTGGTTATGTTTAATCCCAACACCTGACACCATGCTGTAAACATCACAGAAATTAAAAGGAAACATGCACTGCTTGAATGGATTCTAATGCAGCAAAATACTAAAAAATCTAGCCAAGAACTTGATCCAGTAAAAGTGTATCTTCAATTTACAACCACAAGAAGGAAAAAAACCTCCTTATTTAGAAATTTTGCAACCCCTAAAATTTGTCAGCTGCTATGACTCTCCTACCAGCACTTGCATTTTCAGATGTTGATCCATATTCAAATTTCAGAATATGAGTACAGCCACAAAAACCTCTGAGTCAGGACTGTAACAAACCTAATGCTTCTTGTGTTACTCACATGGCAGTGTTGATTTCCATTTCATTACCCTATCATCCCATTCATTCTGAGATCTAGGTCACACTTATCATTTATATTGAACAAGTGACAAAGTGAGGTACAGAGTTTCAATATATTGACCACGGTCATGCCAGGAAGCAAATGGTTGACTCTAGATTTGAACCAGGTTGGCTGTCTGTTACACACTCTATAGCCATGACTCTATGCATTTTTCTAAACAAAAGTCAAGGATGCAAGGAGCCATTTATTTCCGTTTTGTTAGTTCACACATTTGACCTATAAGAGCTCAAAGCTTACTCACTTGAAAGTTTTGGGTAAGGGAACAGAACCTGGGTTTGGAATGCCAGTGTTCTTAAAGTGCAGAGATGGAACATTCAGGAAAATGGACAGGAAAGTGTGAGGTTAGGTGGGCGGTTTCAGGACTACAAGTTGGAATCCTGCAATGTGTCGGACAGTGAATGGCCCAGGCTTTTGGGCAAGGCTGGATCGGTGTGTCAGCTGGAGCTGTGGTGGTAGTGGTGTCTGTAGGTGCCTGGCAACCTCAGGGGAGAATAGATTCTCAGGCAATTTTATAAGCCACTGACACATTTCAGTGGAAGCATGTGCAGTCTCTCCTACTCTTGAACTTCTAAGATAGGTTGAGGCAAGGCCCCCAAAGGGCATTCATTCACAGAGATCAGTCTCTCATCCAGTCCTACCCAACATCAGAGGAAAACAAGCACACAGAGTGCTCTAGGATCTTCTATAAAACACAGAACAGTAGGCGAAGTAGAGAGAAACGGCCTGTCAGGGACCCGTACTTCCATACTGTGGCACAATTACACAGATCAAAGAAAAAGAAAAAAGCATGCTAAAAACTTGATAATTGAGAGAAATAATCCATAAAAAACAATGAAAATCAAGAATCCTCTTTGGTCCTACAAAACACAGAGAAGTATTTTGAAGTTTTGAGACAATAAAACTAACTTGTTCTGGATTACCGAGAGGACAGAGTGGCTTGAGAGCACTGGCTGATCTTCCAGAAGACGCAGGTCAGATCCCAGCACCCACAGAGAAGCTTACAACTGTTTGTAACTCCAGGCCAGGGAGCCCAGTGATTTCTTCCGGCCTCTATGGGGATTACATGTACATGATACACAGATATACACACAGGCAAAACACCCACAAACGTAAAAAAAAAAAAAAAAAAAAAAAAACAACTGAAACTGAAAACTAATGTGTTTGCATATAAACTGTCATAATCAAACCTGAATAGGTCGAAGCCACAAAACAACAACAACAACAACAAAAGTATTTTGGTTAACTCTCTGTCAGCCCTAGCTTAAAAAAGTAGGTACTTTTACTCTAATATGAAAGTAATTAAAAAGAAGAAATATGGTATATAAGTAGCAATGCTGGAAAGAGCAACTATAATTTTAAATTAAGGTAGAATTAGCAATTACAAGGAAGCTGTGTGTGATCTGGACATGAGAAGTAATGTATGACAGTACTAAGGATGAGAAGAAAATGAGAGAAGAGAGAAAAGGAAGGAAAACCTTTGGAGTTATTGCTTTATTTTGAGGGGCAGCGGGGAAACAATTTAACTCTAGAAATGAATGGAAAATTGTATGCAGGGTTTGTATTAAATTATGGATAACTAGGTGAAAAACAGACAATTTCCAAA